GAAGAAAGTGTTTGGCGTTCTCACACACTGATACAAATTTTACAATTTTTAAAAAGAAATCAAATAAGTCGAGGCGTTGCGAGCTTGGCTCTCCTGTTTCATTTGCTAAAGGGTTGTTATATACAGCAACAACGCTGAGAAGGTGGTCGGGGAGGGGGAGGTGGGAGTAATTGTGCAGAAAGGCTATTGAAGTGCTTACGGTAACAAACAAAAGATAAGCTCACAGATGTTCCCATCGGAAATGAAATCATTGAAGACCCCCCCCATCCCGCCCATCCATCGCTACGATTGGTTGGTTGGGCGCTATGTGTATCTTCGGCTAATATGTATGGTTACGGCCACTATCTGTTACATATCGTCAGCAGCAATCTCACACCATATTTGGGATGAGTCATTGACCCCTTTTAAATTGTGCAACACTTTTTTTTGGTGGTAAAAATCGTTACTTGCCGCGTGGAATTGACGAGAGGTTTTCGACAGTTTAATCTGTAAAAGCACCGTCCCTGTTCTAAAACACGCGTGCGTGTGTTCCTGGTGAAAATGCCCCCATCTCATTCAGGGGAGTAGGGTGGCACTCTGAGCCCTGAGGAGCACCCATAGATGAATTAAAGTGACAAGCATTTTGTGCCCTGGTGCCAAAGGACTAAGGCTCCCTGAAGTTTAAAGAAAGAAGCCGTGTCAAACTGCAACGTCAGCTCTTGGGAGAGTGAAGTCATATTGCTGATCAAACTATTCAACACATTTCTCCCCAATTTAGTATTAGCAATGATTCCCCAGAACTGTGCAGCGACTGAATGCTCTGAAGCAGATCCTCGGAGGCATGTTTCACTCTCGTTTTGTTTAAACCAATAGCGCCCAAATGCAACGTAACTAATACACATCCCTAAACCGCCCCCCCACCTCAAAAAAAAGGCCACTTTGTCTCAGCGCACGAATTCCCTGACACCTTGTGGCTTTCCTAGCAACTGCAGCTAATCCACATTGCAACAGCACTTTTTCGAAAGAGCAGAATGTGTTGGGAACACTTAGCCGTTCATCTGGGAAGTCGAACGGTTGTGGGGGGAGGTAGGGAGATAACGTGGGCTTAGCTTTGGGCCCTACGAATGTACAACAAAAAGTAAGCTAAAAAACCACCAAAGGTTCAGATACTGCCACAATCTGGTTAACATGCAGCTAGTCAGGCACAGTCTTACAATTGAATCAGAGATAGTAGGAACTGCAGATGCTGGATGCTGGAACTGCAGATGTCTTACAATATTCATTTCTACCTTCCGTGGGAGGGGGGAAGAAATAAAGTACAACAATTTTACAATTTCAAACTCAGCAAGTTTCTGTCAGGCAGCAGGCATGAATCCATGGCTTCACATCAGAGGCACTGCGAGAGGAGGTGTGCCTGATGGGTTTGGCATGAGGTTATCTGATGGGTAGACGCATGGCCAGAAGGCAGGGTGAATGAACAATTGTCCTATATTTGAAGACTTTAGATTTTATTGTCACCTGTAGTCAAGTACAGGAGTGCAGTGAAAAGTGTCTAATGTCACCACACGCAGAGCCGTCATAGGTACAAAGGTTTCTTTTGCTACTTTGCATCAAATTTAAAAGTTAAGCATTACAGATCTTCATAGAATACGTGGAAAAATAAAGAAATAAGGTAATACTAAAGATCGAAGTCCTTCTTAATATCGACTAGAAAAATAAAGGAATTAAGTTAAAAGTTCAACAGTCTTTGACTGTCTTGTGCACATGAAGAACTCCTTTAGTCATTTATTTCCCTCTGAGAAACAACCTGCGAGCCTACAGGGTGAGTTTGAGTAGTATGTTAGGGGCTGTAAGTGAGAGAATCAGGCATCGTAAAGACAATAAAATAAAACAAAGACGTACAGATGCTGGAAATCTGGACGCAAAAACCAGAAATTGCTGGAGAAACTCAGCAGGTTTGGCAGCATCTGTAGACAGAATGCAGAGTCAATGTTTTGGGTCCAGTGACCTTTCATCAGACCCTTGATAATAGCGTTGACTCCAAACAGAATGATTTGTAAATTCAAATTGATTCTAAACTTTCTCTCCCAACTCCCCTCCGTACCTTAGCTATTTTGGAATCAAGAACCTCTCTCCCCACTGACTCTCATGTTGAAAATCCCTCCCCTGTAAATTTATTCTCACACCTCCTGCTTTACCAATCAAAAGCAGCTCCCATTCCATGGTTACCTGTTGTTCTTCCCCTCCCTGTCAGATTTTGCACACTTCCCACCCAATCTGCTATTCTGCTGTCACCATTTACAACTCCTCCGGATCCATGACAACAAGGTGCAGGGCTGGATGAACACAGCAGGCCAAGCAGCATCATAGGAGCAGAGAGGCTGACGTTTCGGGCCTAGACCCTTCATCCCATTGTGTTTTTATTTGTCCTGTTTTCACATGTCTTTGCTGAACACCTTTGTCACTTCTGTCAAATAATCAATTATGCCCTTGACATAGAAACAAAGAAGGTAGGAGCAGGAGGAGGCCATTCAGCCCTTCAAGCCTGCTCTGCCATTCTTCACAACCATGGCTGATAGTCCAACTCAATAGTCTTATCCTGCTTTCTCACCATGTCCTTTGATCCCATTCGCCCCAAGTGCTATATCTAGTCACCTCTTGAATACATTCAATGTTTTGGCATCAACCGCTTCCTGTGATAATGAGTTCCACAGGCTCACCACTCTTTCGGTGAAGAATCGTCTCCTCATCTCCTTCCTAAATCATCTACCCTGAGGCCTCATACTGCGACCCCTGGCTGTGGACACACATGGACCTTTTCAGTTCGATCATTCCCTGCCCCATTTCTCCTTCTTTGAATGTGCAGTTTACAGGACAGAAGGAAAACTGTTCAACATGCATCTTCTTCAATCTAACAGCAAAATCACTCCGACTTCATTGACTGAGCTTCAGTGTGCAGACAATGCTTGTGTGTGTGTGGTCACTCAGAACTAAGTATCAGTTGCCTGCTACTTCAACACACCACCTGGTTCCATGGCCAACATCTCTGTCTTAGGCTTGCTGCTATGTTCCAGCAAAGCTCAGCACAAGTTGGAAAAACAATGTCTCATTTTCCATTTGAGAAGTCTACAGCCTTCTGGACTCAATTTCGAGTTCAACAACTTTAGGCCTTGAGCCTCTCCTACGTCCTTAGCCCAACCCCTACACCCCTGGCCTTGTTATCACATGGTCTGCTATTAGAACAACCCATTTTTAGCTACTAACAGTCTCCATTAATGGCTATTCACCCCCCTAGCCAGATCATTATCCACTTCTTTATGTGTCCAACTGTCCTTCTCTCTCTTTGAGCTCTACCCCCACATATTGTTTACTTCTTACCCCCTCCCACCACGCTATCTTCTGTATAAAAACCAAAATTTTCCTAGCTAACATCAATTCTAATTAAGTCCACTGGACCCGAAACATTAAACTCAGATTTCTCTCCACAGATGCTGCCAGACCTGTTGCGCTTTTCCAACGCTTTTGGTTTTTGTATCAGATCATTCTTCACTCCTTCTCCATAGCATGTGAGAAATGAGGTTTTCGCTAAATATCCAATAAATATCTCTTCCAATCTTTGTTCATAGCGCAACACCTGAATTGATTAATGCTAGAATGTGGAGACCATTTTCAGTACATTGGAAGCCTCCCTTCAATAAAGACAACATAGACAAAGAAATACATCATCACCTCCAATGTGTCAACTTGGAATCCTCCCCTAATTATTACGTATAATGATTCCCCAAAACTCTGTTTTGTCTGTTTCAGAAGTTGACGCAAGACAATTGCAGTCATAGCATCATGACGCTGATGCAATATTTAAATTTACATTTTCAGCAAAGACCCAACTTATCCCCTTGTTGTTTGAATGCCTTTTGTCTGGCTTCTATCCTGCCCACAGTATTGAGACATTATGGCTGAACCCACCAGTAAAGCCATAACTGACCACGGTGCATTATTATTCTTTGGCACGCACACAAACCATCGGTGGACATAGAACATGGACATGTAAGGTTTCCTTGCCCTTTCTGTTAACTTTAATATAACCAGTCACTCTACTCTCCCCTGCTGTCTTCCTCCATGCCTGTTTCTATGTTGTCAATGTTGCTTGGTTGCATTTCCACTTAAGCAGCACATCTCACGGAAGGACTTGTCCTCCTGTATTCACAGGGTCATCTCCACCTTGCCTTCAAATTCCATCGTCAGATCCTTCAATATATCTAATACCTGCTGTGTCTTAGAAACACTATCTATAAACGTAACAACAAATTGACTTAGTATATCACCTTTGATGTGGTAAAACATTCTAAGGCATTTCACAGGAGGGAAATCAAACCAAAAAAATGAAATTAAACCATGCAAATTGCTGTCAAAGAGGCCTGCTTCACATGCTATCTGAAAAGAGATGGAATAGGGATTTCCTGACCTTAGGGACAAACCGACTGAATGCATTAACACCCATGACAGAGTGAAGGA